CCTGTTCTTGGGGAGTGGGCAAGCGGCTGGCTGCAGAGTTGCTCCTGCTGCTGGCTCTGGCTCTGGCCTCCCCCTGTGGTTGCATAAGGGCTCCCCGGAGAGTGGGCTGAGCAGTGACCTTTTCAGCCCAGTGGGAACAGCCAGTTGCAGCCAGGGCAGTGGGAAAGCAGCCCTCAGCTGACATCACTAATTCAGGGGCGAGGGCAGCTGCTGCTGCTGCTGCTGCTGACTGGGCTGAAACTCTGATGGCTCAGCCCCCCTGGGCTGTCTGGACACAGCCGGAAGTGCGGGAGCTGAGGGAGGATAGCAGGTCTGAGGGCTTTTGTTTCTGTGCCCTGCGGGTCCCCAGACATCTGCCACCTGCCCCTGTCCCCTTCCCCCTCCCCCCAGGTCCCTAAGGACAGGAAGCAATCCTGTGCATTGACATGGCTTTATGTAGAGGGGATCTCAGCAAAGGTGCCAAAGGGGACTTCTCTCCCAGCCGGACAGGCCTGGTCGTGCTGTTTGATGCATGAGGTTGCCAGGGCTACAGACTCATGAGCCCGTGTACGCTGTTACGGTGCACATGGCGTGTGAATGTGCAGAAGGAGGCTTTTGGATGGGGGCAGCCCTTGCCACCGTGGAGACTCACAGTGGCCCTGGAAGGTGCTAAGAGGAGCAGGCATTGGTGACATGGTCTCAGGGTCCCACTTTTACACCTGTCCTGTCAGCTGTGCTCAGATCTGGAGCACAGCCAAGGCCAGAGGCACAGTGAGGACTACTAGTGTCCCAGGGACGGGGCAGGGCTGCCCAAGCTGCCTGTGGACACGTGGCCTTGCTCACACGCAGCTCCATGGTGATAGTCACATGGACCATGGTGGTGGCACGCTTGGTAAAGCATGGACCATTTCATCTCCATCTCTGTGAGAAACACCCGAGCTGGTCCATGCTCTGAGTTCCGCCTGTCAGCAGAGACTGCTGGGAAACCCAGCAGCTCAGAACAGGAGCCCTTTGTTATTCACCATGCATCTGGGGGTCACCCAGGCAGCTCTGCTCTGGCCTGTTCCTGGGTCTGAATCCGTGATCTGTGGCCAGGGTAGTTGCTGGGGTGGCTCAGCTCCTCCCTGCTGTCTCTGTACCCCCTGCAGGCTGGCCCAGGAGGTGAGGAGCAGCCATGGAAAAGCACACTCAGTCAAGGCTCTGTTCGCAATGAGGTCATCATCGTCCCATAGGCTGGCACCAGAGCCTGAGATAGAGGGGACTTCAAAGTGACCAGGAAGGTGCAGGAATAGAGGTGCTCTAACCAGGGCTTGAAGGCAGCCGGTCTCAGGGACACCTTCACACACACACACACACACACACACACACACTCCGCCCGTAGTGTCTCCAGGAAGTGCCCTGTGCCAGTAGGACTTCCTTTGACCATCTCTCTCCTGGGATCCGTATCTGCACCACTCAGTCTGCTGACTGGTAGCTGCAGGTAGCTGTTGAGTGCTTGTAATGTGGCTCCTCCAACTAAAGAGCTGGGTGTGAGTTTTTGTTTCATTTTAATTAATTTAATAAACTGACTTAATTTAAAAACTTAAATAGCCACAGGTGGCTGAGCCCTGCAGACTGAGGAGGAAACTCTCATTAGCATTGGCAGGAGGCGGTCAGGTGCCAGGCACAGAGGTCTGCTGCTGGCATGGGTTTGGGTGTCACTTGGTCCTGAAACATGGTCCAGCTTCCGGTGCCTGGCATGAGCTGTGCCATGTCCAGGCTGGGGCAGGCCTTGGGCTGACACCAGCTTGAGCCTCCCTGGTCCTCTGTGCCTTGAAGCATCTGTGCACACGTGCTCTGCCACTCATTCAGACGGGTGACAAAGCTATTCTCACCTGTCTGTGCCAGGCTTATTTCACTCAGTACAGCTTCCTTCAGGATTACTCACATTGCCACAGAGGACGGGACTCAATTGTTTTGTGTGGCTGAATAGTATTGTATCATGAGTATGCACCAGTTTTTTTTTTTTATCTTAAAGAGAATAAAAGCAAGCAAAACAAAACAGAACAAAGCCAATCAAAACAAACCAGTGTAAGTGACACAGGACTTCAAAACAATAGGAAATCAACGGTGGTTACCATAGTGTCTCCTGCTGTCTTCAGAATAGCTGCAGATACCTTCAGACAGTAAAAATCAAACAAAACAGAACAGAATAGAGCCAATAAGAACAAAACAGTGAATGCAATAATGGCCTTCAAAACAAGATAAGAGTAAATCTAAAGTGGCTACCATGATATATCTTGTTATGTTTGAAATAGCTGCCCATGCTATTGGAGATAATAAAGTCAAACGAAACAAAACAGAACAAGACAAAACCCAACCCAACAAAACAGCGAAAATGGTACAGGACTTCAATGCAAGATAATAGGGAATTAACAATGGCCGCACCTTCAGAAGCAAATCCTCCATAGATGCTACACTGCGTATTGTCATCCTCTGAAAAGATGATCAGACCACAGGCTCTAGACCTGCAAAGTCAGTGAAACACTAAACACTACAAGCATTAAGTTGTGTCCCACTCAGTAACCATCATCACTGCCTGTGTTTCTCCAGATGGTGGGGACGGGTGTTGGCTCTTCTTGTTTCCTAGCCTGCACGCTGGAAGGGGCTGGCTCTTCCCCAAGTAGCCTGCACATGGCGCCGATTCTCGGGGAGGGCTTGTTTCTTGGTGGCTTCTTGTTCTCCACACTCCTTTTTTTTAATGCATGCAGCGATAGGTGGATGCACAGGGCGATTGTGCATCTTTGCTATTATGAATCGTGCTGCAACAAACAGATACATATGGTCTCACTCAGGTGTGGAGCCTAAAAACGTTGCTCTCAGAGTAGTTGAGTAGGAAAGTGATTCCTCCAGGCTGAGAGGAGCTGAGAAGACAGAGAAGGATCATTCGGGTACAACGTTGCAGTTGGGGAGAAGAAGTCCTAGGACTCTGTTGCTCAGAGTAGCGACTGTGGTTATCAGTATCGCCCTGAATATTGCAAAATTGCCAGACAGGCGGGAGGATTGTGGATGCTCTCACCACAAAAGAGCTGGTGAATGTGTGAATAATGGGCAGGCCAATCGCCCGAGTTTCTTACGTATACATGCGTGGACTGTGCTCCTTATGTACAGTTACTACGTGTCAGTTAAAAAAAATAGTAGGTTCTTTCTCCTCTTCAGCTGTGCTCTCAGCAGGCCCAGGGGCTGCAGCTCTCCCAGGCCCTGAGTTGTGTGGCCGCTCTGGGGACCCAGGGGTGTGGACAACTGGGTCAGTGGGCAGCGTCTGGGTTCCAGGCAGCAGGAGCACTGCGCTGGTTTGGCTGGTTAGGACTCTGCCTAGGGTAAGCTCTGTGAATGCTGCCTCGGCCTGGCCTGGTGTCCCTGCTACCTGGCACCTGCTCCCTCCTGCCTTGGTGGCTGTGCTCCCGGGCGGGGCTGCCAGGGGCCTGCTTGAGGTCATGGCTGGGCTGGAGACCGAGTGCTGTGGGCTTAAAGACCAGGCAGGCATTAGCTATCTCTAGAATGGCCTCCAGCGTGCTCATCTGGACACCACAGCACACTTTTTACCCATTGGTCCCCAGGCCCCTGGGAGCCCATGGGAGGAATCCTGTCCTTCGAAGCCTGTGAAAATGGTAGGTGAAAGTTTTCATCCCTGGTTTATTGATGAGCAAGTGGAAGAGTAAAGGGCATGGGTTGTTTCCTGAGTTATGTCTCTATTGGGGGTGAGGACCCTGTGCTTAGCCCCCAGCACCCTGATGGTCACAGCCAGGGTACTGTGTTTGGTTGTCTATGTTGCAGTCCACCTGGGGACTCACAGTCTGCACTGGTGAGCATGGGGTCTCCTGGCAGCAGCTCACAGGCTGCCTGTACACACGAAGCTCAGAGTTTGTGGAACAGACACGACCAGGCAGCAGAGCCGGCTGAGAGCACAATGTGTTGAGTTCACAGTGTTCGTTGTGATTTTGATTCTCGGTGACTGGCTGGATCCAGGTCTTCCCAGGGGTGCCCCGGGCTATGGGGAACATCCTGGGCGGGGGGAGGGTTAGCCTTGGCAGGTGGATGCAGGGATGGGCCAGAGGAAATGTCCCAGGCTGGGAAGAAGTGACCCAGCTATGGGTTGGCACTTTGGGCCGCCACTGCCAGAAAAGTAACTCAGGTTGGCCCAGGTGAAAGGAAATGTACTGGGCCTGGAATGGAAGAGTCCAGGCCCAGGACCCTGACGCCTGGGTGACACTGTCAGGGTGGTATCACCCTTTTGGGCCGCTTACCTTTGGGCGAGTCTCCTGGGAGGGGCCAGGATGCTCGGCTGGGGGCTGTGCCAGGTGTTTAGGATGTACACCACCTCCCAAGGGAGCCCTTCTGCACCCCAGCCTGGTGACTGTACAAACAGCCTGTCTTGCAGGGGATCTGCCAAGGGCCACTTACTCATCCCAGAACCAATCAGGACTTGGGGTGCGTCATCCCAGCTGGGAAGGTTCATCCCTAGTAAGGGAGGTTTCATCAGCTCTCCAAAGTGAGACAGGGTCCCTTGGCACAGGGCTGGGTGCTATCAGAAGATTGGAGCAGGGGTCCAGGGCTGGAACTGGGTGTGTCCTCCTGCCAGCTCTGGTCCAGGTGGGCAGTGCCCTCAGCTTGCCATTGGAGAAGCCTCAGCTGCAAGATGCAGAGGGAACCCGGGCCAGGAACCCCCAGCCCATGAGGCCAGGACCAAGGGCGGGCCAGGCTCAGGCCTGTTTAGAGAGGGAAGGAGTGCTGCCTGTGCAGGGTGAGTTCTGGCTGTGGGGACCTCTAGATGACCAGAAAGGCCTTCCCACAGTGGGAGATGGTCACCAGGGCCAGGCGCCAGCAGGGGTGTTTGGATCACATCGGTGTTTTTCTGAGCTGCCTAAGTGGACTCCAGCCCTGATTTCTGCGGGTGGGTGGGGGGCACTGGAGCCGGGTGCCTGCAGCTCTCTTGGTGCTTACGGATTATTTTCCCTTTCTCCTTTCTTCCCGCTGCGCAGACATCCGTGGACTCCAGAGCTTTCTGGACCAGGCTTCGCGGCTGGGCCTCGATGTCTCTTTACAAAAGGTGGACAAGAATATCAGCCACGTGTTCACCAGCCTGTTCACCACCATGAAGACGGAGGAGCTGAACCGCTACCGGGACACGCTGCGGCGCGCCATCCTGCTGCTCAGCCCGCAACGGGCTCACTCCTTCATCAGTGAGGTGGGTGGCAGGGGCCGAGGCCACAGGGGCCCGCATGCGCCGTGGGGACGGCTGGGAAGCCCAGCTCTCAGGGTGCGTTCTCTCGTGCGTAGCCGGAAGCGGGGGCTTGGGCCGTGGCCATGTGGCCACGTGGCCATGCGGGGAGGCCTGGGCATGACTTGGTGGTAGCCTGGTCCCTAGCAGGTGCCTGAGGCCTGCCCAGGCTCTGAGAGGCTGTGGGGCGGCTGGTGGGAAGCCTGGTTAGAAGTCACTGCCAGCAGCTCTGAGGTTTCTACCCCCCCTTTAATTTTCCTTTTTGTTGACAGGTGTAAGCGTCTAGGGATGAAATACATTTCTAGCTCTCTGCAGAGGTGGGCAGGTCTGCTGTGGGATTTGTTAGCAGCTGGAGGAGGTATCTATTGCCTGTCGTCTAATGATACCTTGTGCATGCCTGTTTCTTTGGTGCTTGAGCTAATCACCATGTGTTTCTTTGAAAATCACCTCTATTAGGGGTTAGGGCTTTCTAGTGAAGACAGGGCCTCCAGCCTAACAAAGGATCCATTCATTTGAGAACAAACTAGAAGGCTCTGAGCTAGAAGGAGCCTGTTGATTGGTGTCGGCCACAGTGGTCTGGTGGCAGAGAGGTGAGCAGGAGGTGATGGCAGGTCTCTCTCTGGCCTCAGTTGTGGGGGGTGGGGGAGGTTCAGGGATGTGGGGTGTCTGGGAGCAGAGCAAGCTGACAGGTCCTGGTAGGCAGCTGGGTGCTCCTGCAGTATTGATGTTCCTTGGCGCGCCCTCTGATCAAAGGCCAAGTGAAGAGATGGCAGAATCATTCTAGTGCCATTCGGTGCACAGTGCGCTCCCCTCTGGTTAATTGTTGCTCAGAATGCCACTTCACGCCTCCAAAACAGCCAGCGCTCTGCTGGAGGACGTGAAATTGGGAACGCTTACTTTAGTGCAGTCGGCAGCTGCCCTGGTGCTTTCTGCTAATCAGGCCCCTCATGCACAGGTGGTCAGCTGGGTTGTGACGTCAGTGCTGGGCTCAGCGTGCTCCTGGGCCAGGCTTTCTCTGAACACGCCCTGCAGGGCGGTTGCTGAAGTCTGCTCACAGGTGCTCTGGGTACTGTGGGCTGGTTCCAGGGCCTTCTGTCTTCTTGCTCCCTGTCCTCCGGCTGCCTTTCCCCCTTGCTACCCTTCTGCTGGGGAGCTTGGAAAGCGTTGGCTTTGGAGTTGGCCCAGTTTGGGGTCGGATCTGAGCTCCTCTGCTTACTCTTCCTGTGACCTCGGTCGCCCTGCTTGACCTTTGCGGCTGTCATGCCTGTAAGTTAGGGAGGAAGGAAGTGACAGCGAAGATGAGGAATCTCCCTGAGCAGCACTGGCTGGTCGATGCCTGTAGGTAACATCTCCTTTCCAGGTGGGCGCAGCCCCTGCTAGCCTCCAGGCCCAGCCACCGCTGGCCTAGGGACTCTGTTTCCAAGTGGCTCATTATGTGGACTCCTGTAGCCCGGACGGACGCACTCGCTAGGTTCCAGCCCGTTGCCTTCTCTGGTCCCCCAGGCTGTTTGCAAAACCTCTGCATTGCCCGATGCCACTGCAGGGGCCATTGTTAATGTCAGGGGCCATTGTTAACTTCTAAAGCCCAGGAAGTGGCGGCAGGAGCGCCATGATACGGGCAACACCCGGAGTTTGGATGCAGGTTAAAGTGCCCCCTGCCTGTTCCTTCAAGGTGGCACTCAGTCTCTATCCTGACACTGGGGTGGAGGAGGCTGTCACCTCCAGGTGCCCACAGTGTATACCCCCATCAGTGCCCTTAGCAGAGGAGGAAAAGAGACAAGCTAACGACTTGCTTAAAGTCACGCCTGTCTAAACCCCTTAAGGGACCAAGCAGAGAGGAAGTCCCATCTGACCTGTTCCGGAGCCCTGCTCTTCCACGGTGGGTGAGGAGTGACAGGGAGCACAGTGTCCTGTATTTCCTGTCGGGCTGCCATGCTGGCTGCATGGAGGGAGTGACCGCCTGTGGCCAGGACCTGGCGGAGTTTTGGGGCTTCGTGTGTCTCTACAGCATGGCCAGGGTTGGATCCTACACAGCGTGGCTGGCTCGGAAGCCAGGGCTCTCAGTGCTGCCCCTGCCCAGAGCCTCGGTTGCTGCCTGGACACTTGGGCTTGTTGCACAGACTGAGGCCACGTCCTCTTTGTGGTGACAAGGACACGCAAGGGTGAACCCCCTGTCAGAAAGTGGCCTGAATTTCACGAAACCCAATCACTGCCCTGGACCCCACCTCCTGGTATAGCTAGTTGGTATCATGCCCCAGGGGATGGCCCTGTGGAGCCACAGCCACCCGCTCACATGGCTTTCCCAGCTGTGGGGCTCCCCTTCCCTTCTTAGAAGTCCCGGCAGCTGGAGTGGGTGAGGAGGAGGAGGATTTGTTCATTCCCGCTTTGCTAAATTCGAGTCTGCTGCTGAAGGTGGACTTTCATGGTCATTAGGGACAAGTCCCGGGTGACACAGCCGTGGAGGCCCCTTGTGCCCTGCTGGACTGTCCATGGGGAGCGCTGGGAGCTGTTTCTCTGAGCAGTGTTCCCAGTGCCTCCCCAGGTGGCCTCTCTCTGATCCTACTTTACAGAGGACCGTGTTAGCTGGGGTGGCAGGTTTGGGCCCCTGGCCTTGGTGGCAGTGGGAAGGCAGGCACAGCAAACCCATCGGGCCCTGGCTGGGGCCCAGTGGGCACACATAGCAGGTCCCACCTCCAGAGCCCTGGCTGTGCGTGACTAAGTGCTGACTCTGTGTTCTCCTTTCTGAGGTCTCTGTCACCTTTCACACCCACCACACCAGTGCATCATCTTCAAGGGGTGCGAGAAGTCTCCCCTTGGGAGAGGAACCTCCTGGGCCTTTGTGGCTGCTGAGGGTGTATACTGTGGAGTGGACCCTTCCTCCTGTGGGCTTGCTGAGGTCTGCACTGGGCCTCACAGAGAGGGTGGCTGTCTTGTGACCTTTCCGCTAGGGGGATGGGATGGTGACTCCAGTGTGATAGGGAACTAATTAGAATATCATCAGTCTTTGGGATTGTGGATGCATTTGTCTGATCCTTTGTCTTGAGGCCTGGCCCACAGCAGGAGGGGTCTGTCTCCCCCTCAGTTGCGGGGTATCTGGGCTTCTGCACTGGCTCCTTTGAGGACCCAGCCCCGTCTCACTGCCTATAACATTTCTAGCTAACTCGGCTGCTTGTAATATGTCCATCATTCATTTACCACCCACCCATCTGCCTGTACATGCATTCATTCATCTGTTCATCTGTGCATCCATCTGTTTGTCCATCCACCCATCTGTCTGTCCATCCAGCATCCATCCATCCATCCATCCATCCACTCATCACCTCCCACCTAACAAGTACTGACTGGGGCCTCTTGTGGGTTGGGAACTATATCAGATGCCGGGGGTGGGGGGGCACAAAGGTGCTGTGGACCAGCTGTGCGCCAGGGCCGTTCTCCACCGCTGAGGTGTCTAGGCCTTGGGACGCAGGGGCTGCAGGACTTTGTCCTTTCTCCTTCTGTTATTTCTGGGGCTCCATTTCTAGCGGTTCCCAGGCCTCCCTCTTTCTTTTCGCTTCCTCCTTCCCTGTCTCTTTCATTTCACTGAAAATTCTTGTAATCCACAAATGAGCCCCTCAGAGCCCCCAAACTCGAGTACAAAAGAAAAGAGGCAGGACATGTTTTTTTTTTTTTTTTTTAAAAGCAGCGCTGATTTATTTTATCCTGGGCCCAGCGACACATTGCAGTTGGAGTTTGCAAAAGCTGTGTGTCTCCCTCAAAACTTTGCATACTTTTTGTAGAAAGCACAGTTTACAAAGTAAGGGGTTATGGGCGTGGATCAGGAAATCTGCTAAGGAATGAGGAATACCTTTGTTTCCCTTAGCAGAGGCCAGAGAAGTCTAGCAAGAATTAACAATCCTTTGTCAACTATTTTAGCACAGCATCTGTTATTTGTAGAGGGCAGCAATGGTGAACATATCAATTAGATCAGGTTCCCAGGGATTTACAATTCTTTACAAAGGGGAGCATTGATTAATGTATCAATTAGGTCATCCAGAAAAAAAAAAACACATACAGAACAGTATGGTGGTGTTACAGGTACTCTGCTCATATAACTTAGGCATAACACAAACATAACGAAGCTCTTTTTTGCTAGTGTACAGCAAAAATGAAAGAGCAGAAGCCAAATGATTTCTAGCTGTGTGAGCACTGTGGATACAGTGCCCTACCCTTTGCCCCGAGCGCCCTTCGGAGGTCCATCTGTGTGTGTCACAGGGTGGCAGGGCCCTCTGCCCCCACCCCAGCCTGTGGTGACCCTGGCGTCAGGCACTGTGTGTTCTGAGGGTGGTGCAAGGCCAGCCCACAGCAGCCTGCGGGGGACTAAGTGGCCTCTCCTGTTTCTCACTTCCGGTGGAAAGGCCAGAGCCCAGGTCTCTCTTCCATGTGACGTGGTGCCCTTTTTGGCTGGTCAGAGGATCCGAGGGCAGCCTGTGAGGAGGGCTGTGACTGTGAAACTGCTGCTACTGGGGAGACCAGGTGTGCCTAAGAAGCTGCCCTAGGCTGTGAGGGGTCAGCAGACAGGGCCTGGGCTGCTGCTGCAGGGGGCTGGACATGTGCCAGCTCTGCACATGGCAGGGACAACAGGGGACAAAAGGGTGCTGAGAGATGGTGAGCGTGCAGGGCTGGGTTCATGATAAGCAGCAGTACAGGCAGGAATGGGAGACTGGGAAAACACACGTGCGTGTGCACACACACACAGACACATGTAGGTGCAAGGGTGCAACCAGACAAACACCTACGCTCGCTACACCAGGACCTTCCGACTAGTCATACCCTGCAGATAAGACACACACACACACACACACACACACACACACACACGTGTGTCCCATGCAGCCCCGCATGCTGCTGTGCACACTCATTAAGCCCACGGTAGTACTGCAGGTTGCAGAGTCTCCTGGGTCAGTCATTGCAAAGCTGGGAAGGAAATG